ATAATTATTTTATTTTTTGTCCCCCTGTTTTTGGGATCATTGGGGGTCTTTTTGTTGTTTGGTTGATGTTTTGGTTTGATTTTGGGTTGTGTTTTGTTTTTTTTTTTTGGTATGGCAAATATGTCTGAATATACAGTATTTAATTCCAGCTTTTCTCTTCAAGAATCTTGTTTAACCAGTTTTGTCTGTTGTGTGCTCTGCATGCGTATATGTACATAATCTCATTTGAACTCTCTGAAGAGGCTGATCCATAATTCTGTGAACTAAGGATCACGTTATATTAGCAACGTTTATTAATGGTTTATATTTGATTTAAATCGTTACTCTGTGACCTTTATGCAGTTCTGTTATCATGGGTTAAATTTATATAAACTTAAATGAAATGATTGATGGTAAAAATTCTATCAAAATCCCCAAATATTAAAAGTAGCAATAGCAACATAAAGGATTTATGAATAGCCATCAACAGGAGACATTAACAGATGTATCATTAAGCCTTAACAATATTTTGTTTCATCGCACTGTTTGCGTGTAGCACCATTACATGTAAGTCCTATGTGGACTGTAGGATATGGATCCACAGCACAGTCTGTACATATGAGTTCTCCCTGTCTGGCTTTTTTTCCTTTTTTGCACTTACTAGTCCTGCAGTGTTCAGTTATCCTGCTTTCATCCTCATCACTCTAACCCAGTCTAATTCAATGCTTTTCTAAACAGCTTTCAACTGCTTTTTTTGAATGTGTGAGCCAGTCACTGAATTTTAAATGAAAGCTGTGCCTTCTTGCTCATGTAAACAGAACCAAAGAGAGTAGGATTACTGCTGGCTGTTAAAAGATACCATCTGTTGTACTGTTTAAACTGTCTATGCTGTTGCCATTTTAAGTTTTAGCCTATGAAGTGCAATAATTGACATTCAAAATTTATCAACCTATGTGATAACTGCTCTGTAATTTTAATGCAGTGGTTTTCTTATCGTCTATTGGCATGTTGTATTAGGGGAATTTCATGCAGAATATAGTGGGCCATTTCTAACAACAGAGTGCTAAATTTTACATACGGTCTCTTATGTGACTGGTACTGCCTTCTACTTGCTTGGGACTGGTTGAGTACACAGACAGTGTGGTAGGGTTCCATAGTCAAAGGACACAACAATATATTTCTACTTCAGCAGTGTCTGTGTACAATTTGATAGCTGCTGGCCTGAGCCTCATGTAAGTGTTCAATATATGGATCGGGATCTCTTTGCACCAGATTCTCCCCTAATGGTGTTGGTACAAGGTTTGTCAGAACTGCATTTCAGGGCTTATTTCCTTTGCATATCCTTTCTAATGATAGTTAGGCTCTTTTGTATCATATTCACCTGCCTTTCCAAGAGAGGACCTGAAGGGGAGGTAGAAGGTGATGTGGGGTGCCAGTTAAGACTAACTGAAGAACAGGAGAAGAGAAGAGGTGCAGAGATTTTTTGAAACCCTTACTTGCTCTGGCAGTATGATATGGGATGTGGCACATGTTGCCAAAAGTTTTTATAATCGAGAAGCTTCAGCCAGTGAAGAGCTCAGCATGCAATTCTTATTACAGTGGGGATTTCTATCTAAATTCAGCTGTGTATTTTTTTCATCTGTTTTCTACTCAAAAGTCATCTAAACTGTGTTGTTTAAATTTCACAATCAAATTAAAGATACTCATGTATCATATTTTTTTTCCTAGTGTCATCCAAAAGGTCATCTTCCATTTCTGATGTGTATAGTACAATTGTGTAAGGTAAACTGGTAGAATGGGTACTCCAGTGTTTCTTTTCAGTCTTACCTGTAACAAATTGAAAGGATGTTGAAACAATAGTGTACAGGGAAATATGCCTCGTGAAGAAAACAACTTCTACTCTTCCCCAAAGATATGTAAGAAAAATGCCCACTCTCCAAGTACAGTACAGTAAAGCTCCCCCTAAGTACTGAGAGTTTTCCTACCATCCTGAAAATGTGTATGTGTGTGAGTGTACATGTTTATTATTGGTATTTTTTTAACACATACCACTACCATGTGAAAGAAAGGATTTTTGAACTTAATACCTTAGAGAATTTGTTTGGGAATGCTTCATTCATGTGAAGTTGTAACCCTTATAATCATGCCAAGGTCATTACAGACTTGTGGAGATCTGCAGGTTAAGTTGGGTCACTCAGGCAGCTGGAACTCTAGGAAGGTTTTACATATATACCTGATTCATTTCCAGGATTTTAAATTAGGATAATAAAGATAATACTTGCAACTTGCCCTTTATACTTCTGTACCTTTTATATATATCCACCTGGCATCTTCTTAACTTACTGAAACAAATAGTGAAAAAGAAGAGAAAATACTGGTTTAGTTTTAATTTAAGTGGCTGGAACAGTACCTTGAGATAGTGCACAAGGGAGGCTCAAGCAGATCTCTCAATATGCCTGTGTCAGTGTAGGCTGAAGTTAATTTTGAACCTGTGAGATTAAATGCATGCATATTTGTATTTATGTGTATATTTATCTATGTAGATCTGGGGGTTTCCTTTAGTTGTTTGTATTTGTGTGTGTGTGTGTACTTCTAAGTAAATATTCTTTCCTGTGTTGGGAAAGTAGAGCAAGCGATGGTAGATGAGGTGGAGGAATCTTCAGGTACAGTGTGAGTCTGCTGCAGACCTCTCTTACTGTTCGGCCCTGTGTAGGCGGTTGGATGAAAAAGAACAGACAAATCAACATTCCTTTCCCTGAACTCCCCAGCATGCCTCAGCTGCTTTCACTCAGGTCCAGAAAGGCGAATTGAGACAAAAAGGAGCCACTGGTAGAGTGCTTTCTAATTAGTTAAACTTTGCTGTATGCAAAAAGCAAAAATTAAAGGAATATATAAATGTTACTGAAATTTTAGTATGTGAGAACTTCAAGGATCAACAGGCTTATTTCAGAGCTTTTAGCTAAGTCGTGTACTTAAAAGAACAAGTTTTTTCAGTATTTTCAAAAGACCAGAACTTGTCAGCCTGCTTATGCTGCCAGTTTTTGTATAATAAGTTCATTGACCCCGTAGACAGTCTGAGTGTTTTCTGAGTTAAGGCTTTATCAATCTAATTTGCATGATTTTAAAGCTGTTGATTGCTAGAAAACAATCTAGTGAGGGTGCACTTTTATAGAACGCCCTTTTATAGAACTTCGCTTACTTATTTTGGGGTTGGGGAGAGGAAAATTGGGAGCTGCAATGGAAAACAGCATAACTGAAAAGCGATTTTCATGCTTTCATAAAATGTTTCACAAAATAGTCGCTTCCCAAACTACTCTGTAGAACTTCTTTTGTTTTCACCTAGATAAACACTATTTTGCATGCAAAAAAGTTATGCTTCAGTAATTAATGTGCAATTACCTGTTGTCACCAGATAATGTAGAGGCCGAAGGTATAAATGGATTCAAAAAAGATTAGAGGAATTAATAGATGATACATTAATGGAGGAAGAACAGTGAGAGCTGGGAGTGTGTAATGGGGAAAGGATTGCCTCATAGTAAATCTTCCTCTTTTTTTTCTATAAACACCAGCTATGGTCACCGGAGAGAATACAGGTATAGATTGAGTCATATGTCTGTTCTGCTGTTCTTCCTCTTGTTTAAGTTCTTAATGTAGAAGGCAGCGGGCCTTATACATGGGCACCAGATCTTTTTACAGAGTATTGCTATGTGTGTGACCCTGAATGCCCAAGACTAAGAACTACAAACTATATCTTAGCTTCCTTTATGTTCTTTGGAGGCTATTCTGCCTGAAAAGTCAGTGAAGAGCAAATTAAATGCTTCTAGCACTTTACTCCAGAGAACTAAATGCTTACAAGTACATACCTGATCTGTGTTATACTATAGCAGTATAGATAGTATAACAATGCAGACACATACTTGCACTCACAGTTTCCAAAATAAATGGTAGGGTGTTTTAGAAAGGGTAAATGGTGAGACTGAGACTAAGCTGATGATTAGCTCTGAAAAGTTACAAGCTGCAGGCAGTTGCCCTGCCCAAAAGAAATCTGTCTTCACGTATGATAAATTTTGATGAGTAGTTTATTATAATTTGTCTTTGTGCCATAAGTTGATTTGAGTTTCTGAAATAATACAGTGTATCTTTTTGAATACAAGTTAAAATCAGTAGCTGAACTCCTTCCACCCTCAGGCAGCAACTGAAAACCAAGCAGGACTGCTGAGTAAGTACAGCCCCAAGCGTGAGCTTTATGATATGTAGACAGAGCTACACCAATACCGCTATGAGGTACTTCCAGTCTCGCTTGCTTGTGCATGCCTGCTCACCATCTGCTCTGCTGTGCTGGCACAGAACTTCGTGGGACTGTGTTTTGAAGTGGAGTGACACTTTTTTCCAGTGACACTTTCTTCTTCCACCTTTTTGGGTTTTTTTTAAGTGTCAAAATCCCTTTGTATTTATCTGTATGTGTATATATTACAATTGATTCTGTTCCCTAAATTGATTTACTATACAGCCCTACAAACAGTTGTGTGTATGTGGACTGTTGTTCATTAATGCTTGGAACAAGCAGTGGGGTGAGACTGTCTCAATATTGTGTTGCTGTGGAAGACACTCTTCATCAATATGTTCTTCCAAAAATGTTCATTTGACTGTTGAAGTCTGTTAAGATTTTCATATTACTTAGAATTACCTAACAATGGGATTTGGTAATTAAAATATTTTAGGACAATAAAGAGGAAGATGTTAAGGTGAAAATATGTCGTGACAGGCATAAGACTGTTCAGGTGTTGTATGTTACTTTCACACATAGGTATGCCTGAGGAGAAAAAGTGCTCCTTGTATGTTCTACCACAATAATGCAAATAATGAGAATGCAGGTTTGTAATGCATACAGACTTTAAGTTAAATACTTTGTTGACATCTTAGTGTTATATCCTAGCTTTATTTGCTGTGTGCCATATGAAATTTCTGTTGGAAAACAGTATAATTTTTTTTTTAAATGTGACAAAATTTGTTTTCACTAGAGTGCTGCCGTCCTTGCCAGTGAAAGAAATACGGCCGAAGAGGTGCGAAATAGTATAGAAAATCAAGTCAAAGAGCTGACTGAGGAAAATGAGCAGTTGAAAAGAATAGTTGATGAGCTAGAGAGTAAAATTGAAGAGCTGCACAAACAAATTGATAATGTGAAAGGAGAAGAAAATTCAGTGAAGGCAAAAATAAAGAGATACGAGGTAAGTTAAGAAAGCAAGCCTCTTAAGTAAGTCATGTCCTGTTTGGAGAGGATACATTGTAGAACAAAAGCTGACAAAGAGGAGGAAATGTCATTGGGAAGGCTAAGCAAAACCAGCAGGTTGCCAAGAAGGATGCAGTTTGCTGACATGATTTGTCTGGTGAAAACCAGTGTGCAAGCAAGTCACAGCTTGGAACTGGGGAGATCAGCCATAGACCAGAGTGAACATACTTTAAAGCTCATGTTTTTTGTCAGGTTAAAGGCCGTGCCACTCTTTCTAAATGTATCAAATCGTATCATTGCAGGAAGAGAAGCAACAATTAGAAGAAGCCTGGAAGCATGCTGAAAAGGAGGCAAAGGAATTGGTAGTGTTTAAAATGTCTTTGGAAAGACAACTAGAAGATATGCAGGTAAGAACAAGAGCAATTTGGAATATATAAATTTTAAATTTTCGGTTTACCTAAGCCACCATTGCTTTCTGCAGAGTAACTTCCTATTCTTTTTGAAGTACGTTTTGTTTTAAACTCCAGACCTCGTTACAATGTTCAAATATGTCCTGAAGGCATAGTATCATACAGTTAAGAATGGTTTTCTTGCTAAAGAGGGGGTTTGTGGTTCTATTTATTTATTTATTTATTTTTCCATGGATCTAGCGAAATTTCAGGGAGCTGAATTACAAAATAAACTGCCTAAGTTTTTATAAAACTGTTTTATTATTTTGAGTGATCATTCAGCTCTGCTTGTGCAAAGGTATTTACTTGTAAAATAATAAAAAGGTGTACTTGGATATAAATTAAAATATTGGTAGTAGACAAATATCAGGAAATTTGCTTATCTTTTTATGAACCTGTCTGATTTGCGAATGTTGCATGGAACTGGTATATTTGATCACATAAACCTGAGAAGTTTAACACATATCAATATGACTTGCAGCCTCTTAAACTCTGTGTGAAGTCCTCATTCCACCTTCCTCCTCAGTACACTCAGTATCCAGGAAAGGATATGTTTTCTCTCAGATTAGTTCAGAAATTAATCACATGGAGAATGCATCTACTGACAGCAGTTGAGAGGGATGTTGGCATGATTCAGATGGATGGAAAATTCAGATCTGTTTAGTAAGAAGGTGAATGTGTGTAAATCTTAAAACTTGTCTTATTGATATCATATTCTGTATCTGAAAAAGTTGCAAACCTAATCTCTCCTCTTTGTAATACATTTTACATGTACCAAAGAAGCATCTGTTTTGACATTTTCAGAGAGTTCAGAATTCTCTTAGTTTTGCCTCTACAAGCAAAATTTTTAAGTGATTTGTCAAACAAGTCAACTCAAAAGTGAGGTACATGATTGCTAGTGGCCCGTTTTTAATTGAGCAAATGTTTTCCCTTTTTGTCTTCAACACAAATTTTACTGTTCTGAAAATCTGAAAATGAAACTTGTCTAAAAGTGGATTATAAACCAGGGGAAGATTGTGTTAATGAGCATGTTCTCATTGTTCAGTTAATTATGGTAAAAGGAAAAAAAAATAGCAACAGCAAGAAACTAACACAATGTCTTTAAAATGGAATGTGCTTCAAGAATATAAGGTTTAAACAGGATGGGTAAGGAAGTTTTTTTTCTACAAAATGGTGTTTTTAAGCTGATGTTCCTTGTACCTACGTCAGTAAGTGTTTCATATGAGGCTTTTGGTGTTTTGTTTTTTTTTTTTTTTCTTTTTGAATCTTTCTCTGTTCTACCTCACTGATTCTCCAAATCTGCTTGCATGTATTGTCGACAGTCTGCGCAGTCACAGTGGATGGACCATTGCTCATCATCGTCTTACATTTTAGCACTGTTCTCTGAGAACTCCCTTCTACCACAGTCCGGCTTGACCTTCCTGTACAACATGAGTCAATGCAGCATATGCATCTTCTGCATCTTGATTAGCTTTGGGTCAAGATGCTTGAAAACTGTGTTTTTTCTTTTTTGTTTACATATCCTTCAGAGAATCACACCAAGTAATGCTGCCTTCTGTCTGGGTCTCCGAATTAAAGAAATAAGGAAAAGTGGCAGAAGAGTCTGTCTAGTCATGTTATTCACAACTTGTATCTAATTCCGGGTGCACCAAATTTCATCCTATTTCAGATTCTATGCTCTTTTGTCCACTGGTTACAAGCACTAATGGACTTCAGGATGTAATCAGTAGGCCCTTTTGCATAGAACAATGCAGCCTTTCTGTCTTTAGAGTTTTGCTTGTTTTAAAGAATGATGTTGTACAGTAGGCTGATTTGGCCTTGTGTTACCTTTGCCAATTTAGACAACAGACTTTGGCACAGTAATAGTGCTTATCATGTAGAAACTTAATTCCTGGCTGGCCTGTCTTGCTTTTTTACAAAATGCAAATTATTTTTAATGGTGGACTAGCGCAAGAAAGACAATGACAATACAAATAGAATTTTAACAGTGACTGTAATTGTAGCCAAATCTATTCCTTCTCCATCCCAGATTTCTACTCGAAGAAGCTAAAGCTGGAATGCACCTAATTATTGTTACAGACAGTTTGTTTTAGTGCTTTTGTCTAAAATCTATCTCAGTATATATTGAAATTTTCGTTATGGAGGGTGAGGCAAGTAGTATTTCTTGTAGTGTCTCATGCTGTGTTATAACGTCTGTTTTAGAGTAGTCTCCTCTATGTAGTCCGCTATTTCAAAAAATTAAATACAACTTAATATTGTTGCAACATTGAGAAGACTTTTGGAAGTTTCAGGAGGTCTCTTTTGTAAAAGAAAATAATGTAGTATAATTAAATGTGTTTTGCACTAGTAATATATTTTATTGGTAATAGTAATGCACTATTACTATATTCTGTGCTTGAATTAATCAGAATGCAAGATCCTTTCCATGGGGAAGAATAAGAAAGTTATTTTTTCATTGTGATAAGGAATAGCAGGCACATAGATGTTGCAGAGCACTCTTAAGTTGACTTATATACTTAATTTTCAGTTATCAGTTGAAAGAAATTACTAACTTGCAAAGACAATGTTCAACTAATATTGTTTGGCAAAACAAAGAAGTATTACAGTAATCTTATAGGTCACTATGAAAACAATTTGCTTCCTTTGTTTTTCCCCATTTTGTTTTCTTCTCTGGGTATGTGGAAATGTGCGTTCTGTTGTTGCACTATAGCTCTCTGTCTTCTGGAATACTGTCTGTTCATCAACCTGAAATTGAGAAATACCGCTGTAAAGTTAGCCTGACTTGCACTGCCATAATGCATAAGCTTCTTCACAAAGTGATTAATTGTCCCTACAGAATGGCTGTAAATTGGCAACTGGGAAACTGTTTACTTAACTTGAAGTTACACTGTAACTGACAGGCCAGCCAACTCTAGTGAAAAATTACTCTCGGATTTTTGTATGTGCAGGGGACTCAAATTAGAGGTCATACTTGAGTTGACTATTGAAGTTGTCCCATAGGGCATCCCAGATTTCAAATATTGAAATTGAATATAGTGTACTGAAAGGCTAGATGCTGAGGAAGCTGCAGCATTTGGATAGTCAGTAGTGATGTTTCCATTGCATCATGTTTTTTAATATTTAAGATAAGAAAGATGATATAAAAATATAAATAAATATTGATGATATTTAAATAAAGATAATAAATATATGTAAAATAGAAGTTCCTTTTTTTCTAGCGTGTCCTATTGGTCTATCTCAAATGTTAAGTTAAAATAGACATGCTAATTTTTATCAGTACTCTTTTATCAGCTAGTCCAGCAAAGGGAAATACCGTATCCTAATTTGTGTTGCCCAGGGAAAATGATTATTTATGAGAACTGCATATTACATGTTATTTCCACTGGAAAATATTACAAGCATGAAGTAATATCTATTGCAATGCAGGGTTTTTATTACATAAATCAAAGATAATTTCTGTTGCAATGCTCAGTTTCCATTAGGAATATTTTTACCTATTATTGTTATCAAGTTCCTGCTGGCTACATTTTAGCAAAACAAGAAGGACTTTATCATGCTTCAGTTGTGATTTCACTATTTGAAGAATAAGTTATTCTATGGTATAGTTACTAGCTAGATCATATGGATCATAATATGGACACATATCAAATAGATTTTGAGAATAAAATTATGCAGTAGTAGCGTAAGAAAACCACCATTTCCAGACAGATAAATTTCATCAAGCCCAGAGAACTATCAGCTATTACACACTTTTCCGGAGAGAACAGTTGTGCGTGTGAGCCGTCGGATGGTGTATCAAAACCTTGTTATTTGGTAATAAACAACACCGCTGTTAATTTTTTTACTCTACACATACCCAGAGAAGCATTCGCTTTCTCTAGTCAATAATAAATATTAGCTGACAGAAGAGGAGGAAACAGTGGTTTACGAATTTAGAGGAAGGATGAAGCACTGCATCACTAATGTTTGTCCTATACTGGCTAGTAAACTGTAACTGCATAAACATTTCTTTTAATTATTTAAGTTTATCTAAATGTTACAAAAGTGGTAAAAGCAGTGGTGGTATTACTGCCGCATGGAGAGCATTATTCCTTTAGAATTACATTATAGCATTAGAAAAAAGAGTCTACATTTCATTGTGTATATTTCTTGACCTACTGCAGGGGAACATCCGTTGTATTTCACAGGAACGACAACAGTTAATTGAGCAGCTGAAAGATGAAACTCACCAGAAGGAACAGTTAAAACAGATAAAGAATGAGATGGAGAATGAACGACGGCAACTGAACAAGATTATTGAAAAGTTACAGGAGGAGGTATGAGTTCACTCCAAAGAGGCTGCAGGAATCTGAGTATCTAACAGACAGAAGCAGAAGAACTTGCCAAGTTGTAAAGAGTAAAATGTGTAAAACGTTTTAAAACGTGTAAAAAATAATGAAATGCAAACTTTATTAGCAGTCTCTTTAACCTAGAGACTATCAGTAAAAGCTTTCAGGGCTGGAATAACAGTTACAGCAGTATTTTTGGGTTGTAGAGCTGATTCCCAAAACGCTACATCATTGGACTTGTTTTGCCATCTCTGTGTAGTCTGTACAACTTAATACAGATACACTGGTAGTATGACGGTGAAGTTCATTACATCAGATGGATGAACCGCTGACAGACAAAAAGAGACCAGCCTTGCCAAATGTACTGTTAGAAAATAACCTTACTGGTTTTTGTATGCGCGCTTCTGCGGAAAAATTTGTTTCTTTGGGAACATATTTGGCAAATTTTCCATTTGAAAATACTGGGCTGAATATCAAAGCTGGTGGAAAAAAACCTTTTGGTGTATTAAGCGGGATAGAATGTTTCATGCCACTATTTTAAGGAAAAAAAAAATTACATGTACTTTTTCCCCAGATGTCTGAAATGGTAGAGGTCTCAAGAACATCAACTCTGGAGCTTCAGAACCAGCTTGATGAATACAAGGAGAAAAATCGCAGGGAACTTGCAGATGTTCAGAGACAATTAAAAGAGAAGAACCTTGAGGTAGAAAAATCGCGCCTGACAGCCATGAGACTACAAGATGAGGTAATGACTCATAAGTTCACTGACAAAGTCTAACCTTTGACCTAGCATTCAGCTCAGATAGTTTTCAAGACAATGAGTATTTGCTATCATGGTTTTGTGTACTTCATCGTTAGAGACTAATCTCAATCACTGTGCTTTCGTGTTTCATTCATCTTGGTGATCAGCGTGTTACTTCTGCCAGGGAAATGGGATTTCCAGTTCATGACAGATAAATGCAGTGTTTGACAGATGAATGTGTCTTAAGTGATATGACAAGGATGATCCATTGATGATTTGCTGCTCTTTTAATGACTGAGAATGTGGAAATATTCTCGAATTAGGGGGGAAAAAAAAGTTATCTAGGAAAAAAAAAAAAAAACGCCCAGAAAACCCAAAACACACAAACACACTCACACACACAAAAGAAAACAAAACAAAACACCCCCACCCACCCCCAACTTCTAGCTCTAAATGAGTTGATACACATTCTACTCTTCCTTCATAGGAGCCAAGTTGCAGATATTAATGACAAAGGTGTTTGTGCAACCAAGAAACAACCACAATCTTGAAATGTCTGTGTCTTAGCTTGTAAATTTTGCCATACAGGCAATCCAGTCTTTTAAAGATCTGCATATACTTGTTCCACAATTGGAAAAGCTATGACAATACACTGGTCACAGATGTTTTCTGTGTGTAGAATATTTTGATGGTTTGATTTTTTCTAGTTCAGAACTTCTCTTATGGCTACCCTCTCCCCTTAACAAGCAAGTTTTATATTCAGTTGAAAAGAACAACAACAGAAGAAAGTTTCTTGTATTATTCTGTTTTCTTTCTGTTTTTATTCCATTCAGGGATGGAGAGCCTTTTTAAAGGGATGGAGAGTTATAATGAAATGTGAAAGATAAAACCGGGATATTGAGAACGTGGGTCTTAATTTATATGAGATATTACCTTAAGTTAAATGAGAATAGATAGCCTAACTAGAAGATATGCAAATGTGTGTGTGTAAATATATATTCGCACTGTTTAGTTATGAAAAATTTCCAGTGTTATCTATTACAACTATGAAACAAACACAAAGAAAAAATTTCAGAACAAAATAAACTTTCATTATTTGACAAGGAGATAACCCAAACACTATATAAAGGACAAAACATTGCTAGTTGTGGAACCATGAGGCAACATTTATAATCCTAGGGCTTTAGTATGACAGCTAGCTGCAAAAGAGGGAACAAAATCTGAAAATATAGGATAGGCAGGTTAAACAGCAGAATTTCTAGAAGAGAGATTAAATATTCACGACAAGTCAAAGTCTTTATTATCCTCTTTTGTGGTTAACAAGAAGTACAAGTAGCTAGTCCTTCCTTTCAACATAAAAGAGTCTGTTGGTCAAAATTGTCTTGGGTAGGTGTCATAGTATGCCACACATTTTTTTTGCGAGTGTCATCAAAAGCCAAGGGTTTTAGTGGTTATGGCAACATAAGTATCGTCTTCCTGTTCCACAAGAAGAACTATGAAATAGTCTCACAAGGCGGTGATGGAGTTCTTCTTCATTGCTGCATTTCTTGTAAATTCTCTCTGGATACTTAAAAGATACCAATTTTGAAAGTTGTCCTCCAGTGGCATTCTAAAACATTAAATACATATGAAATGCTATTAATATACAGATCTTTGCAGTTAACTAGCTGTTCATCAAGTTATGCAGGTGTCTAATGTTTTGTTGTCAGGACTTAGCAATGGGTAGCAAACACTGAAATAACTAAGTAATACATTATTTTAGCTTTGAAACTAAAATAAGCATTTGTCTAAACAGAGGAAGAATATGGAAGGCTGCATGCTGAAGAAGGAAGCCCTCATCACATATTATATACATTTCAGAAGTTAAGTTACCAAGTATAGGAAATGATCACAGTCTCACCTAAATCCCTGTCATTACTTACATTTTTTTTAAAAGTACTCTGAAGGTTGTAGATAATTTTGAGTATATGCTGTTGTTAGAACAGGTAACTTCTATCCTAAGCAGATAGCCCTACTATATCTGAAAGTTATACTAATATACAAATATGTATCAATTATGTCATCGGTAAAATGATGTCACTGAAGTGCCTCAGACATATAAACTACAAAACAAATAATTATAAATAAATAAACACACACCCCCACACATAAGCCCCCACTATGTATAATTGTCACTGTAAGACTGGTAGTGTGAAGCATCTCTTTGAATCTGATATTTAAACCAATTTTATTTTCTTGGTGCCATCTCGTGGATAAAACAAAAATTACTGTAAAAAGTATATAACACAATGCTTCTGGATCTGTCACGTTTTAGTCAGTCCCCTTTACTGACATCTCTTTTTTACAGGAAGTACGACATAAAAAGTGTGTTACCATAATCTTCTTGTTTCAGATGCGTCTTATGGAAGAAGACTTGAGGGACCACCAGAGAGCTCAGGATGAGGCAATAACAAAAACTCAATTGCTAGAGCAGACTGTGAAAAGCTTGGAATATGAACTGGAAGCCAAAAACCACTTAAAGGATGATCGGGCAAGACAAATCAAATTAATGGAGGTAAAAGACATTTTTATTGGTTGGTATCTCATTAGAACTGTTTAAAATTATTTTGGTATTTCACATGGGTTCTGCCTTGGCAGAAAGATAATAACTTGAGGTTGCTGAAAATCCATATAGTACTACTGCAGGAATTATTCTGGTATACTCTAAAGGTGATTTGTTAGTATATCTGTTGTAGCCTGAATGGTATGTTCTAAATTACAATTGTTCTTTAATTATTTTAATTAACTTTCCTTTGATTTCCTTTATGGTTTATCAGGCAAAATTGTATTATTTCCATTTGTAGGCCCATCACTCAGAACTTCAAAAGTATTTAAAAGTTTAAATTCTATTTATTATCCAATATCAATTGATTTTGGGAGACTAAATAACACACACCATTTCTGACTATGTTGTTACCAGGTTACATAACTGTTCAGTTCAACTGAACTGTTAATTGATTTTCATAAAGGCTATACCATTGTACTCACATGAAAGAAATTTGCCTTTAAAGGTATAGTGTATCTTAGGCATTCTAAAAGCAGTCTCTACAAATATTGCAGAATTTCTCTTATTTTCTTCTAGTTGGTGGGAGTGATTAAAAAGGAAATGAAGCTTCTATCTTACTTCTGAGAGACAAGCAAATTCACTTTAAAGGCTTATTTACCCGCCACCTTTTTTTTCTAGATTCAATATGTGTTTTCAGAATAATTTCACTTTTCAAGCCTAGACTTTCAGACCATTTGAGCCCTTGAAGTTTAAGGAAGAGTGCCCTGATAGCAGTCTGAAAAGGATGTGAAAGTAATATGTTGAAAATTCTTTTCTTTGTTCCCATTAGGACAAGTTATCTCACCTGGAACTTGAGCTTGATGAAGAAAAGACTAATTCGGATTTGTTGTCTGAGAGAATCAGTAGATGCAGAGAACAGGTACTTGAACAAGTTTTCCAATGGTTGTATAATGATGAGCAAATAGCACTATTAGGATCACAAACATTACTGATTACCTAAATGATTAGCGATAGGGTTTATATACTATATTTAATCAGATTATGTAAATAAAAAACCCCAATGTTCACAAGCTTGATTAAATATGCTCTTCTACATCATCACAGACCAATTTTTTCCTGTTTTCCTAACTGGAAAACTGAGACATATTGCATATAAAGACTGAAGACCAGTACCATCCTCTGAAATTCAGCAAGTAACCACTGATGCATGCAAAGATGATGCTGTCTTAGGCTTAGGTGGTGAGGCTATGGGAGAAAACATGTGTTAGAAAATATCTTAGATTGAAAGATCACAAGTTTTTAGCCTTACTGAAAAGTAGGCCAGTGTAGTAGTCTTGATTTCAAAGGAGGACCTTAGGAAATTGTGGAATTAATTAGTGGAGTCAGCTGAACTGAAGATGCTAGCCGGTTTGAACAAAAAGGAAACTTTATCTTCATTACAGGTATAAAAATTGTTTAAAATATAGCCAAGATAGGACAGTTGAAAAGAGTTCTCCACATAAAAGTATCAGTCATTAGTTCCAGAAGTGTTGTATGAGTAGATAGCCCATAAAGAGGGGAAGGATTTATTAACAAGGTTGTGCCTCATGGTACAGAAAATGTAAAGATAAAGTGAGATTTGCCAAGCTGAATGAGACCCGTTGTAGTAGTTTAAACAATTAAGAAAAAGCTTCTTGACTGTGTAAGTAGAAATAAGTTGTGTCATACATCTATGATGGGATATCAGTCAAGATACAAAGTAATGCTGGCATGCCTCCTCAAAGAAATTAATATTTTGTCTCTGTCTTCAGGAAGGGCAGTAAATGTGCAAGTGAGGAAAAAGTGTAGTGGGCTGATGGAAATGAGACATTTTCATCTGGAAATCGCCAAGTCTAAGAGAATGCAGAGTTCGTTGTTCTGAAGAATGGGGCCTTAATAATATTATTCAATATTCCTGAAAGAACTGACCTGTGAAATTATAGGTGCTGTAACAAAGATTTATGATAAACCAGAAAAGTAGAGAATAGGGGCCAATGACTGAAAAAGTGACCGGTACGTTCATGGTTGAGTAGTCAGTATTATGCAAGTTGTTTGTTAGTCCACAGAAAGGAATATGGTAATGTGTCTGTCTTGGAATATCAGGGGCTAGACAGCGTTCTTTGCCTTAGTTTTACATTCTGAAAGATGCAAAACTGATGCGTAACTCATTAGAGCATGTCTACTACTGTAGCTTTACATTAAGTACTGTACCTCATTCGTAATTTCCTAGATGTCTACGAGACAGTTTGCACTGAGGTACAACTCAACAGTCTGTTCTGTTCTTTTCTCTTTCTCCTGGGGAAAAAAAAAATTAAAAAAAATATTACTGACATTTTGTAGAATAGCTTTAATTTCAGAGAGAGAACAGAAAGTAAAATCTTAGGTTCTGTGTCTTTTCAAAAATATTGTATGTTCCACTGAGATAGCAGGAGAGTTTTAAAGGGAGTTAGAACTCAGCTTTCTTTCCTGCGTCCTTGAAACACCAAGGCGTCCCTACTGATCTGTTGGCACTCAGGCTACCGAGATTCTATTTGATTGCAATATTGTCTTTTTCCTATTATTCCATTGATACTGTACAGACTCCCAGTCAGTGGGTGAAATAGAATGTAAAGGACCCCTAAGAATATGGGTTCATGCTATTGTTAAATTATGAAGCATTTAATACTAGAGTTTATGCCTATGTTGTAAGCCTGGAATAAAGGAACCTTGGTCATAGGTGCACTACTGGCTACTATAGCAAATTAATTTGCTAACTGAATGGAAACCTAAAATACAGATGGGTGACCAAAATGTTACATAATGGGTAAAAGACTTGTTTATTTTGAGGTCTGGAGTTTCTCATTTCACAGATGAAAAACAGGTTGCTTTGTTTTGATTTTACACCAGAATGACTAAGTAGTCAAATTGCTAAAGAGTATTTCAGGGTCTGCTAAGCATTTATAAAGACATCAGAAATCGTAATGGATTTGTTTTGGTAGTATCTGAATTTCTGTAAATTTATTTTTCAATTATAAATATGTTATTTTAATATACTGATAATGAACTATAATACTGACATTTCTAGTAAAAACAAATTGAAACAACTGGTTTTATTTTACATAAAGCTCAATGCTTAAATAAACATTGGCAAGGCTGATAGTTCACATTCCATTTACCATGAAGTGTTACCCTTTTTAATTTAAACACCGTTTTGAATGTGGAAATGGCTGCATGAGACACTGTTCTCATCTTCTTACCTCATTCTCAAGAAGTACAGTAACAAAGTGGAAACAGTAGAAAAAACTGGGGGAAAAGTGGATCATATCCTGTTAGGTTTTACATGACAAGGTACTAGCTCTGGAAAGGGAAAAATGGTCAACAAACAAACAGAAAGATAGAGCACTCAGCTGCCCTTCTCAGTCTAAAGCAAGCAGGGACACAGCATATTTTAATACATGATGGTTTTTTTTCTTATAAACAAGCAAAATGAAGTACCTTTTGCCATTTTGGTTTTGCAAATATAATTGAAAAAAATACGTAAGATACCCTCATCAATTCTTGTATTCCATGAAAATGCAAACATGAGTCTGTTCACTTCAGAGCTGTTGCCAATACATGTTGAAAAATGGACTAGGTAGTGTCCATGACAATTTTAGAAAAAATACAGAATGGTAAAATTGCATTTACTGCTTCGTTCTCTTCCTTTTGGTAAAGCATTCTCAATGAGTAGCTGTATGCTTGCTCTTTAGTTGGCAGCAGGTGTGGGAAGAAAACAAATGAAAATGTGGATATGAAGGTTGCTTTTCAGTTATGAAGGATCAAAGGGGTTTGTTTGGTTTTCGCTTGTGTGTTTATTAAACATCGTTATTTTGCTCACATACTTAAGAATCTTGTACGTATATATATGTGTGTGTGTGTATATATATTTTTAATACCTCTCCCCTACTAAGGTATTAACAAGAAGCTTAGGCTGAGTACCTAGTGTGAGATAGTACACAATGGTGATAGCATCTAAAATAATATTAGAAATCATATTGCCTTCACTAATAATGAACTCAACAGCTGCTTCTAATCCTAAAGGTGGCACAAAATAGTGTTATGTCTAATAAGGGTTTTTAAAATCTGATACTATTGCTTTTCTCAATTCTTTGTTGTTAACATTCTTCAAATCCAGCTGTGATAACTATTGCCTTAACCTGCAGAAAATAGCTTATTCTTTTAACATAATTACATTATATTAGATATAGGAAAAGTAGAACGTGATGCACAAAGCTCTACATGGTACATACCCAGAGCCTGTCTTAGCTGCTGTGAAATTCATGAAAAGTTTGAGCACATTTTGGCAGAAAACTTTTTTTTTGCTTCCTTTGTGCATGTTAATTCTGTGTTTACTGATGAAAAGTGCAAGGAGATCAGTGAAAAGAGTTTCCACCTCCCTCAGCAAGAACTGTGTCTTGCTGTTCTTCTCTTTTTACAGGCTCTCTATTTTTCTGTCAGGTTGCTTTTACCATGTGTCCAACAACAGTAGCAGTCATCTTGGGAATATAATAATTGTCCTCAAAATAATTCCTTAATTTGAGATCTTGGGAAGGTTGCACAAATTTGTCACAGCCTTTGAGCACAGTAAGAGCACAGCAGAACTTCAGAGTAGTCTGTTAAGCAAGTTCCTACAAAAAAAAACAAAACCCCTTTCTTCAGTTAACAGTTGCATTTTTAATTAGTCCTTCAATTTACTACAAATTTAGCTTTATTTTTTCCGTGTCCATCTTCATGGCCAAAACAATTACAGCAGAATAAGTCCTATGTAATCCCTAACATAATTTTTTTCCATATATTTCATGACTAAATGCAGGTTTTTTTTACATGACTGATTCCAATTTTTATATCTATAAGAATATTTTCATGCAAAATATTATTTTACTATATAATGTACAAATTATTAATAGACTTCTAAGTGACAGTAAGAGCTTTCAGGAGATTACCTGGCTGCTGAGAACACAACCACATGCCAACGTTTGTAGTCCAGTAACTGTTACGACCTTAGTTTTCAGGAATGCTTTCTACTGTTCTGAAACCATACTGTGACATAATATATGCAACCGCACGTGTTGCTACCACTGTTTGTATTCATGTACTTGTTTCAAAGTTACAGAAACAGTATGACTTCTTTTAAACATGTGATTAACCAAAATAAATCTTGTAGTGTTATAAAGTGGTAGAAAAAAAAAAAGGGGCCTAAGGTAAAATTTAACATTCTGTGCTTGTTTAACCTTCACATTCTTAATATTGCTTTTAGATTTTTTCATGCAAGAATTCCCAGGGGCTTTTCAAAGACCTTTATTGAGATAAATCTGTAACTTAGAAATGCTTAGGTGTGATGGTGTGTTCATGCACGTTCATTTGTTAAGCAGGGAGAAATGCTGTAGCCATTGAAACCTTGTCAGTCTTTTTGCAGGTACAGTAGTTCGCATAGATGTTCACTGTGTTCCTCAGGTGATAGTCATCATAGTAAACATTGTGTAGGGA